TGCCCGTCTGATCGTTACCGAGGGAAGGCCAGGAGGACAGCCCTCCTTGGGAGGTGGTGAGTGTCAGGCACCCTGGTGTGGCCACGTTGCTTGGTTGCCATTGTGACTCTGCTCTCCTTTCCCCCATGTGCATTGGAGTCAGTTCTCAGGTTAGGGTCCCGGCTTAAGGGTTGTTGTTGTGGGTGGAAATGGTTGAGTTACTCACGTCGTGGCAGTGCCTTTGAGGAGTGAAGAGTCGAGCCTGAGCCATGTCCAATAAGCAAGCACCAAGCTGATGGGAGTCGCTCTCCTGCAGTGCACTGCTATCCTCATTTCTCAATGCTCTGCAGTTGGGAAGCTAGTTGGGTGCACAGACTGGATTCCCCTTGGATCTAGTGGAGGATTAGGGTCCCTGACAGAGGATGCCCGGTGCTCCGCAATCTCATACGTGCCTTAGAGGATTCACGCTATCCAGGTTGTGCCTGTTACAGACCACAGATTTCACACCAGCCAGCTATGCAACCAAAAAAAGCAGTTTAAAGCCAGCACCTTTGTCTTGGGCTGAAAACGGAAGGGCAAGTGGGCAGAAATGCCTTTGAGCAGTTTCAAACCCTTTTTACTTCTCCCCTTCTTGCAGTGCTAGCTCTGTACGTGTTGGTCTCCTGCCAGTATTGCTGCTGAGCTGTTATAGTGGAACACAACTTCTGCCTGCTCTGACACTCTGGCTGAAAACTAGTTTGTCGTTGTCTTTTTTTGAAAGGTTAAAGGGTGTAGTGGTTTGGAGTTTCTGTTTAAATAAATGTTTAAACTATTCTCCTGTGTTCTGAGTCTTTTTTTTCCCCCCAAGAGAAGAATGGGAACTATGCATATAGTCAGCTGGCTTCAGGGCACTCTGTTGTTTGATTGGGTTTTTTGCTTATAGAAAGAGAGCCGAGGGGCTTGCAGGTTCTGTGCTGTGGGAAAAACAGTGTCAGGTTCTGTGTCCCTTCATTACAAACAAACAAACAACCAACAAAATAACTCTTTTCTCTTGCTGCTGCATCTCCTCCTGGTGACGTCAGGGGGCTTTTGTGTGTGTGTGTTTATTTCAACAGTTTGAGTGCCAAGTGGGAAATGAGTAATGGGAAGAGAGAGGCTCAAAGGGAAGAAGTACCTGTTTCTCTCAGAACAGCTTCTACTGAGCACTAAGGCCCACGGGAGTGAGAACCGGCCTGACACCTGCTCGGCCAACTGTTCCTGCACACTGCACTTCATGCCTCTCACTTCTGACTTTTTATCAGGGTTTTCAGTAAGTAGTGAAGTGTCTCGAGAGGCAGAGCTGGGTACTTAAAATTCACCAGAGATTTGGAAAAATGCAGCACGTACTGCAGTACGGGGGGATGGTACGGGAAGAGGAAGGCGAGCTGGTGTGAGTAGCATTGTCTGAGTAGTGCCAGGGCAACACTAACCATGGCAGCGAAGAAGCAGGCAGGGTAAATCTGTGCTGAGCTTGATGCTTTGGCGAAACTGTTACTAAGTTTTAAACCAGTTACCAGAGATTTTCTGGATCCTGCTGTCTGTCTTGACCTGAAACAATAGCTCAACAAAGAGGGGTGAACGGCCCATGCATGATTAGCTCCAAAACAGAGATAACAAACAAAGCCTGGTGATTTAATTTCAGTAACTTTCACTTACTCTACAGTTTCAATCTCAGCATTAGCAGTTTGCCTGTCACTTAAGAGAAGTCCCCAACCAATGGATTTATTTTACAGTATCACAAGCTTTTCTGTCGCCATTTGCACTCTGCTAGTGTCCACTAAATACAGTCAGTAAAACATAGTGCAAGGGAAATGGAGTTAATATCACAAGACAGACAGTGGTACCAAATTTCTGAACTACTCTTTGTTGAGTTGTTACACCTTCCATTAATTCAAGGAGGCTGGCATAAAGCTCCCAGTTTACCCCTTTCCTACCTCTTGCTATCCTGGATTTTGAAGCTCTGAAGTTAGAGCATTGGTCTTGCTTCTCCCATCAGTTTGGATATAGCAAATTATTTTCCCTTGTTTCAAGTCTCTTTTTTCTCTCCTCTCTAGGTTTGTACACTCTTATACCTGGCTGGCACAGTGCAGCACTGACCCTTTCTGGGACCTTCACACTTTTCTAGGGTGTGCCAAGGGACTGAGATTTCTGCCCATATATCTATAGGGCAGAAGCTCTGCAACTTCTCTCAGGAGTCTGGTCCACCCATCGAAGGTTGGAGTGTTTCTTCATATTCAGCTTCTGACTAGTCCAGTTTAATCTAGTTGCTTTTTATCTTTTCCTAGGTTCCCATGAGCTGCTGCTGCTGCGTTACTGAAGGACTTGCAAAAGGAACTGCTGGAATTTTTTTTGTTCCTTGTTTGCTTCCTGTTGCAACTTTCTCATACAAAGTAGTCATTCTTACTTTGAGAACACAAACCACTCTGTGACCTTTTAAAACAACTTTTGCACAACAGAACTAATCTAACCTGTTAAAAATTGGAATCTGGAAAAATAACTGACTTAGAAATGTGCAGGAACTGTCACCAGTTATAAGCAGATGATTCTCTAAAAGGGTCTGTAGGGCACCTGTTTCCCCCAAAACGCCCTTTAACAGTGTGTGACAAAGACCTTCAGCATGAGGCCAAAATCACCAAGAACTACCTTACCTCTTAAGAAGAAAGCTAAAGAAGAGGTATATTTTTGTCATAATTCCCTCCCATTGCAGCAACAAAGATGAAAACAAGCAGATGAGTCAAGGAAGGGTGCAAGCCCTGTGTTTTAGAGGTCCCTAGTGATTTGGCCCTCAGGAAAACTCCAGGTTTTTTTATATTAAACCTATTTATTGATTTAACCCTGAACATACGAGTGAAACAGCTAACGGGTTTTCTGATGTGAAGTTCCTTAGTGTACTGTCTGGGGACAGAGGGTGTTTGGCTTTTTTTAGCTGTAGCAGTTTTAAAAACATTCTGGATGAAAATTAAAAAATAAAAATTAAAAAAATATCAGAAGCCAAGTTAGGAATTGAGGGAAGGTTGCCGTGGGAAGGAAATTCCTTCTCAGCTCCTGGAAGTGATACACTGAGGCACAGAACTGCTGCTGATCTGTTCTTCACACTTTACACAAGAAGCCTGAAGACAGGAACAAATGCTCTGTATCCCAATTCTCAATTTCTAACTCCTGCCCTATGCTCCCTTCCATAATCTTCTCCAAGTCCATCTTGAAACAATGTAGGTTCTTTGCCTGTGCTAATCTATTTGGAAGGTTTTTCCATGACCTCACTCCTCTCCAGGTTAGAAACCTAATTTCCAGTCTGAGCTTATTCATGAGCTATTTTTGATCTTGTGTGGCATTATTCTTTAATTAAGTATTTCTTCTTCCGTGCTTTCCCAGCTCTTGAGTCCCAGCTATTGTATGTGGTAAGTAACATGCTGGGATGGTTGTTCTGCTGCCTCAAGGGCCTGGCTGGTTGGGAGTCTCTCTGCTTTTCTATGCACATGAATTGACATAGGGACTCAAACAGTAAGTGCCTGCTACTGATAGCTTTTCTAACCCCCTGAATTTCTGATCCTGAGCTTCTTGTGCTGAGGAAGCATTTAATAATACTCCTCCCACTTCTCCTTTTCTAATTCAAACAATGCCACACTGGATTTCTAAATGTTAACATTACAGATCTTCAGCTGGTAAGATGTAGCCCCAGGATTGTCACCAGCATTCTAGAAAAGCTCTTGGTCTGCTGCAGAACAAGTGTGGAATAAACCTACCCACACAACTGAGCAGTGCTACAACAAATAGGACAGAGCATGAGCAAGGACCAAGCAGCAGCTCTGGATCCTGTTGTTTAGTGCAGACAGCAAGGACGGAAGAACACAGCAGTCTGCGTGCTGCAAAAAAGTTAACTGCTTACCTAGCTTCCTCCCCGCCCTCTGATTGCCAAATGCCTTGTCCAAAGGCTAAATGAGTTTGAAGAAGGTAGAGTCCTTTCTATGGAAAAAAAAAAAAAAAAAAAAGAGGAAGCTCTCACATGCCAATCCTTTGTAGGGAGCTACAATAAGAATGCTGTGCCTGCCAGTCAGCATGTTCAAGGGTGAACATCTGCACCTACAGACCAGTAAAGCAAATGGGAGGCAGATGCTCTGTGTGGCCCAGCTCTCTCATGAACAGCACTGCTCTTTGATTTTGAAGAAGGGGAAAAAAAAAACCAGATGGTGGCCACTGATGAGTTAAAGGAGAACAGCTCTGGTCACATCAGACACCACTAGTTGTTTGGGGTTTTTGGTTTGGTTTGGTTTTTTTTTAAAAACAAGAGAGAGAGAGAGAAAAGCCCAAGCCTCCCTAACCTACAGGCAAAATATGATTGTGAGGAACAGTGTAAGGAACAGCCACTTTCTGGTGGCTGGTTTGCTCCTCACTGCTGTCCCACTGACTATAGCAACAGCCTTTCTTCCCTGCTCAGCTGACTGAACTGCCACAGCCTTACATCTGCACTGAGGCTCCACGTTGAGCTCACTGGACAGGAGAAGTGGCCCCCAGAGGGGCATCCTGTGTGGGGCAGCCCCGGGCATCGGCCAAAGTACACGAGTTCTGGTATTCTGCTTGT